GCTCCCGGGCTGCCCCCAAGGGGTCCCAGACTGTGAGAGGGCACAGGTCGGGCTGAGGTACCGCCCCCCCCCCAACAAGTGCACAAATTTTTGTGTACCGGGCATCTAGTATAATTATAATTCTGATTATAACATGCAATTGTTTTGCAGAGAGGCACTGCTTTTTCATGGTTCCAGGCCTTCTTTCTCTGCAGGGTAGTGGAAAATTTGTCTGCAAGCTGTGTGGACAGCTGCTCCATGAAAAGCCTTGGAATAGCTTTTCCAGGGGAAATGGGCACACACAGGGAGGAGGTGGGGCAGTGACTGCTGCCCTTGATCCTCAAGGCCAGGCACTCCCGCCTAGCTGTAGGCAACAGTCCACCTATTAACACATTCACCTGGCATGTAACTGTTACTAGGTAACATGAAAACTAATTTAACACATCTTACCTTTTCAAGTAAAATACTTACTTGGACTAACAAGTGGCCTGAATTGGGCAAACAGGTACCACATTTATTGGCATTCTCATTTATTTGCTCTATCAAATTCATCAGTATTTCCACAGCACCTTTGCTGATCATTTCATTACGAAATCCTGGATTTCCAGAAACGAATTTGATAGTCCCCATACAGTATAAAAGAGCTTCAGTGTTAGTTTGCAGGTCTTCACTTCTCAGGACCTCCAATAATGATTCTGTCAAAAAGATGGATTATTACAAATGTATGATTATAACAGCTGGAGAGAGACACAGTAAAGTGTTTGTTTGTGAACATCAAAGACAATTTGTAGAATGTTAGTCAGAACCTACAGTCGAATGTTTGTTATGGGTTATTGATAGGTATAAAGAGGAAAGTCTACCTTTAGCTAAATCTTCATAATAGTAAAAACAGAAGGAAGGGAATACACACACACACACACACACACACACATATATATATATGGCTAAGCGACTGTCTAACCAACCGACCATCCGACTGGCCAGTAGGTATGATGCGCATCGACCACCAGGGGGCAGATGCTCAATGAAGGAGCTGCAGAGCAACAACAACTTTGCAGAGTGCCCTCTTGCACTCCGGGACCCCTTGGGGAATGTCATAGAGCTGGTTTTGGCCAGATCCCTGCCGGCCAGGCTGAGGGACCCCATCTGCCGAAGGGACCCCACTCACTCTGCAGATGCCCTTCAAGCCATGGCGCTGCCCCAGGTGCGCCGGCCAGGGAGGGACCGCAGGAGGTTGGCTCCAGGGCATGTCTGGCCATCTCGCCCAGTCCTGCCCCACCCACCACCTTTTAATTAATTTCCTTTCAGTGTGCATAAATCCGTGCACTGGGCCACTAGTATATAAATAAGACAGTGTTCTTTGAATGCCATTCCTTGCCTCTTACTAACACTTACTAACTAGCCTTGTTTTTGGTTGCAAACATTTTGAGCTATTAACTTATTATTAAAGCAATTTAAGAGTTACATTTCAACAAACCATTTAAAATATACCAGTTGTTGTATGAATGGGAAATCAATCAAGATAGGATCTTTTAAAAAAAAATTCTCAATCACCATAGAAAGGAATGCTTCAAATATAACACCCACCCTTTCCCAAGACAACTTAAGAACATCCATCCAAAAACATACAATACTAGGTTTTAGGAGTGATCTAAGTAAGCCTGATAAGGCTAATCATGCCTATCTCACGTTTTATTAATATTAATGTGATCATTTGTCAGAATCTTTCTTTGTTTTTAGTCTACAATTCTCAATGAGCTGATTCACTGACATCTCTTCCAGTACTGGGCTTGTCCCTGTTTGCTGGGATAAAAAATAGATGAAGACCATTTATCCTCTGTTGCAAAAAGAGGACTCAAAGTATTTTCCATGCTGCCTTCTTTTAGATCAGCAATACTATTTCATAAAAGACTTCTATTTAGGTAGCTATTAAAGCATCTTAATTATTTAAGGGCACGTCAAGAATTAGACCGTATTAACTAGATAGAGTAAAATTCTCTATCTACATATTTGAAACACATTTGAGACACTTTGATGTCAAATTTCTATAATAGTTACAGATGTCTTCCAAGTTTTAGTCATTCCTACTACATCAAAAGGCTGAAATGTTAGTTATGTCAATACTATATGAAATGTGGTGGTTTTTTAAAATAGTAAATCCAAGACCAGGAAATGAATTTTTAAATAGTGAACATTTTGCAAAGTCACATAATGGTACACAAGCATTAAAAAAATAGTAGGCAATCCTTCTAAGCTCCAAAGGATATATTAAATGGAATGTGGAAAACATAGGAAAGAACAGAGTAAAAATAGGTATCACATAACTTCTGATAATACTAGAGAATAAAATACTCTAGCTATCGCCAATTGTAACTTTGCTCTCAAGTGCAACATTTGGTCAATGGTAGCACTGAGTGATACTCACCCAGAATGCTGTCACTTTGAATCAGAGAATCATTCTTCTCACTCCTGCTAATTTTAAATATAAGTTTGCAGACATTGAGAAGATTCTTTCTACTCACTTTAAGCTGCAGAGAAAGAGAACACATTTCTATAATGGACGGAAATAAAGACGTCATTCGTTTTTTAACACAAATCTAATTTTAAAGGTTGAGCAAGAGTTGTTTGTTTGTGTGTTTTTTTTTAATCCTCACCCTAGGATTTTTCCATTGATTTTAGCGAGAGTGGAAGAGAGAGGGAAAGACAGAGAGAGATATCGACGTGCGAGAAACACATCGATTGGTTGCCTCCTGCAAGTGCCCTGACCAGGGCCCCACACCAGGGGAGCCTGCAACCGAGGTAGTACCCCTTGACCAGAATCAAACCCTGGACCCTTTGGTCTGCAGGCTGACGCTCTATCCACTGAGTCAAACCGGCTGGGGCTCAGCAAAAGTATTTTGAATACAAAGTAAAGTTCTAAAGAAATCAACTTTTAAAAGTTCTGGCCACATATTTGCCAACCATCTAATATGAACAATATTTAGAGTAAGCGCATTTTAATAATAAGCATTTATTTTTACTTCATAAGGTCTCATGCTTATATGTGAGATTACTAGCTACTCTTTAAAGAATATATGAGGGAAAAAGGGGGCATGATGTTGATAAATTTAACTAAGTTGACTAATTGCTTTAAAACACAAAAGTAAAGGAAGATGGACACAGATTTCAGATTAAACTACCTTAGAAAGCACAGTGGAGGTGAAAGAAAAGAAGGGGAAGTATGATTCTCTTTATCATTTGTGTAAAATAAAATTAAAAAGTCATTCTCTCATTAGATAATATATGTATTTATTTTTAAGAGCTATTTCTGGAATGCTTTGAGATAATGACACATAAAGTTCAAAGTTTAAAATTACCTTCCAAATCACACAAAAGTATTTAAGTAACACAGGGGCAATAAGGAAATATACATTTTTTAAAAACACAGTATAGGAGGACTAACTAAATTTGCTGTGTGTTTATCTAAAATAGTAGAAATTAAAAAGAAAAATCCTAAATGTCCAATATTAAAAAAAATCCCAATATTAGGGGAAAATTTAATAAATTGTGGAACATCAATACTACTCATATTAAGCAGCCATAAAAAGTATAACTGTGAACACTATGTTTAAAAAGAAAGACATCTATAAGTTATTATAAGATGGAAATATGGTGTACCCTCATTGCAAGACTGTAAAATATGTTTGTAGGAATGGGGTCATCTGAACAAATAAATGTATCTGTGTGAAAAGGATGGCATATGGGTCATTATTTTATTCTTAAAAAATATATTTTGAATTATCTTTAAATATCATTTATTAAAGAGTTTTCAGTTAGTTTTAAAAAAGATAATGGAATTTGTCATACATAGTTTTAGATTTGTTCTGTGTCTGGCCCATAAATATTATTGAGCTCCTAGTGTGTCCCTGGCCCTGCGGTGTTTGCTATAGGAGACACTGTGATGAATTCGGTCAGCCCCATCTGGAGGGGCGGAGGGAGGGAGTGTTACCCTTCTTCCTGCTCCCTGCTCTGGGCCCTTTACCTGCGATCTCAGAGCCATGCTGCATATCAGCTGCTGTCATTCCCATTTTGCAACTGAGGAGTCTGCTTGCTCCTCAGACAGGTCATGTCAACTCAGCTTGGCATCGCCTGGTCGTGTATTAGAAAGGCAGAATCCCAGGCCCACCCGGCAGGACTGCATCAGAATCTGCATTTTAACAAGCTCCCCAGGGGGTCATGTGCACATTCCAGTCTGAGAAGCCCTGTTGAGTAAGCCTCAGAAACTATCGACAGATCTTGTAACAGAAATCTAGCCCGGCTGGTGTTGGTTGAGCATTGGTCTGTGCACCCAGAGGTTGCCTGTAAGATTCCTGGTCAGGGCACATGCCCAGGTTGAGGCTTGATCCCCGGGGTGGGGGGCGGAGGGGCACGGTGTGTGTGTGGTGTGTGCAGGAGGCAGCCGATTGATGTTTCTCTCTCTCTCCTTCTCCCTTCCCCTCTCTCTAAAATGAATAAAAACATTAAAATATTTTTAAAAATATGATGTATTATTCTTTTTATGGTGGTAGGTAGCATGTCTTAATATTTGGGAATACATTTTAATCTGTCAACAATGTTCTACTATATTGCGAGACTCTGAGGTCAAAATCATGATGTATTATTCTTTTTATGGTGGTAGGTAGCATGTGTTGTATATGTAATAAAGCCTCTTGAATACAACTAACCTCACCCTACCAGCCAAGTCATATAATTTTAGTGAAAAGTGGCAAAGTGAAACAAAGAAACAAAAAACAGTGTCAGAGTTTTCATTAAAGAAAACAACAAATAACCCACAAGTTCCAAGTCTGCCATAAGGTCAATTTATAGTCAAAGCATATTCCTACACCTTCTCTTTTGATAACTGCAAAATTATGACTTTGAGACATGAAAAGATAACAAAACATTAAATTACATGCAAGGAATATACACTACCTTACACGCAACAGCACTCCCCGCCCCAACGCTGCCCATTTCCTGAACTCCGGCTTATTTCTTCCCACAGTGCCCACCAGCCCCCTCTGGCACTTGGTGTGTTTACCGTCTGTCTCTCCTGCTACAGTGCCAGCCCCGAGGCCAGGGGCTATGTTATTCACTCATATTTCCAGTGTCAAGAGTCCCTGGCACGGACTTGGTTCCTTTAATGGGGTATTTTTCTTATGTTAAAAATAGTAGTCGTTTCTATTTAAAGCAAATTTGGAAAATTAAAGAGAAGCCTAAAAATCACTCATAATACTACCACTGTATATAATCACTGTTGACATACTGGTATTTCTTTTCCGTTTTTCCCCTTTTATAGGGCGCTAGGTTTTTCCTCCTGCTGAATATAATTACATTCACACTGTATAATGTTTATGCTCTAAAAAAAAAATCTTAATATAGACTGATATATTTTCGTAAGATTTTTCGACACAAAGACGAAAATTAACATGGTCTGACAAACCCCCACTTCACCAAAGAATGCAAGAAATCAGAACAACTAACATTATGCTCACTGAATTTTTTTAACTATAAATAATTTAAAATGCCTCAATTGTTGCATTAAACTGATAGATAAAATAAAGGTAGGCAGAAAGAAGTCATTAGAACCTTCTCAGTCCTATATATCTTTAGTTTTAGGCCGACTCTTTTCAACAGCTTTTTATGTGGTCTTTTTAAAATTTAAAATTAGGCCCCATCACCGAGACCTAAGCAAAACAACGTCTTGCCTGGGACATGACAGGAGAGTCAGGAGGCAGAGGGGACGTTGGACCCGATGGCCTTGAAGGTCCTTCCTGACCTCGTGGACTCAGAGTTCATCAGAGGGGCCAGTTCATCAGAGCAGCTCAGTTTTTACAGGGAGGGTGAACAGTTTGGGATGACAGCTTAAATAAAACTGTAGCTGCTCCAAAAAACTACACTGGACATACAGTCAGAATATTTTGCTGCATGAAAGACATCACAATAAGAAACGGTGGACACGCTTCCTCACTGTCAGTAAGTATGCCAGCGCTTACTCTCGCTGTGTGCTTTAAGATTTTAAATGGTATAAGTTATGGGCTGTTACCCTAATAGATCTTACTTTTATGAAACTGGGTAGACAAAGCTTCGTTTGTTTTAGCGGCTCTCTCAGAACGTTCTATAATACTTGTGCCTTATCTTTTGGTTCCAACTGTTTATGGCTATGACAACAAGGTGGTCCCCTCATACAATGATATCACTTTGTTTGAGACAGAATTTTTACGCTTTTATGTGGTGTCTGGCCCTTTCTTCCAACACCTCTCAGGAGCCATCTGTGATCACCTTCCCACGACCGCATGCAGCTGTTTCTCTGCTTCACGCTGGCTCACACAGCAGCTGGCCCTTGTGCCCCGGGCCCAAGTCATCTTAAGTTATTGATTAAATGCCCTGGCAAGTGGAGCGCCCAGCAGAAACTGCAGGGCAGAAACCACCGCCTGCGCGTCGATACTGAGCTCCAGTCAGGTTATCAGAGCAACTGTCTTGAATGTGTTTGCCTCTTGTCCCGTTTCCTAACCCAGCCACAGTCCACATGTTAGAGTTCATTGGAACATTTTCTGGGTCCTCAGCCTTAGTTCCTTAGTACATCCTAGTCAAATTCTGGGATATCGGTTTATTTACCTGAACTTCTTTCAACATCCTAAATGAACACACGGCATTGCTAACCAATTTGGTGGTATTTACCAGCAGAGCATTAAACAACACTTTCATATGCTACCGTCTACGAGACCAGAGGGAAGACAAACTTACTGCCAGAATAAGTTTTGCCAGTTTAAGGCTGAGCGGGTCTGAGCCAACATCAACTAGTTTATACAGGGTCTTCAGGAGATGACTCCTCCTCCTGAATTTCTTTCCGAGCATGTTTTCTTCCTCTAAAGTGCGATGGAGTTGTGTGCAAGCCGCACAAAGCAGTTCAGTGTCTTCCTCTGTCAGGGCAAAGAGAGGCAGGCAGCGCTGACTAATTAGGGTCAAGTTTTCAAGTGTGTCCAGCACAGACAGTCTAAGTGAAAACCCCATAATTATCTCCCCGGACATCTTCAAATGCCTCAACGAGGCCTTTCCCCTCTCTTAGCACTTTCATCTACCTGATTTCTTTTCATCGCATTGCTGCATCTCTTACCATGTCGACTTGTTTACTAACCAGTCAGTGAGCTTGTCGAGCACACACAGTCTTTAGGAGAGCATGTTAACGAGTGGAATGGTACCCACTTCGGTTGGTCTCCTTCGTTCTAAAGGCCTCCCCCTCAGCCAGGGCTCTGTGTGGGCTCATGGAAGCAGACCATTTACATCCCCATCGCTAACCCTTAGGGGCGCAGTCTACTGGCCTAGAATGTTCTTCTCCTTGTTCCTACTGAGTCTGGCTCTTCAAGGCTCTGTTGACGTTCTGGCTCATCCAGAAAAGGTGCGCTAATCCACATACAACAAATGCTATCTTGTACTATTATTTCCACAGCTCTGTATATGATGTTGTGTGATATGTCCAGTGCCCTCCAACAGACGTCATGCTAAGTGAGTAGGAATCCTGTCTCACACGTTTGTATCAATCGTGCATGGTGCAGTGAGAATACTGTACCGACAGCCTGTAACATAGTCTAATACATATTCATTTTCTAATATATCTGTTGTTAAAAACAATGATTGATATTTTTTTTTGTGAGAATAATGCTCACTAGTGAGAACAGAGGCTCAAATGAAACAACATCTCAAAATGTCCCCACACTCACCATGATTTGCAGGTGGTTATTAGAAAAGGGGAGAATATGAAAAGAGACTTTTGTTAGGAAGCAGGGAGACTAGAACACTTCATTTTGTAATTAGCAGTCTGAGGAAAGCCATTTCTTAAAGTGGCAGCCACACTAACAGGCATGTAAGGGAGAAAAGCAGACACGGAATGTGAGGAGAAATACAAGAATCCAAGGTCCACAGTATTCCGTTGAAAAATATTATCTCTGATAGATTCCATCACAAAATTTAAAACTAGGAAACCAATCTTAAATAAATACCATAATGTGCTCTTAAAAGCCCACATAGAGGAAGTGTGCGCCTGCAGAAGGAAATGACTCAGGCCATTTTTAGCTCTTTTCAACAATAACATCTAAGAAAAAATTTAAAACCTCAATAGCGAAGGAACCTTCAATGCCTTTCAGTTATGCATTTCAATAAATGAATTGATGGGAAATGACTTAGACTAACTTTAAATGCAGGGAAAGACCTGAGCTCTATTGTGAAAAACACTTTTGTCTCGTTGTTTTCTTCTTCTGTAACTGGCAGTCTCTTCAAACCCGAGGCCAGTGGGTCCAGACTTCAAGGCATTCTCCTAATGCCCCCCTCCACCACGCCTTCAGCCTGGTGGGTTCTACTCAAGGGCATCTGTTTCAGCTTAAAATTAAAAAATAAGGCTCAAGGGCCAAGTTTTAAAACGATTGATCAAATGAACACTTGATACCAGTTGGCTTGTTATCCATGCCACAGAGCCTCAAAACACAACTTGAATCTAAGAGCTATCAAGATTTTCAAGGGGCTAAAGCTAGGGAGTGAAAGTTTGATGACTGATATAAAACAACATCGTCTCAAAGTACCCCTCCCCCCATAAGATACTTATTAATTACAAGAGGGGAGACAGTGATTTTACAGTAGAAAAACTATAAGTCGTGCAGACTCACTTCTTGAAAGGCTTACATAGTATCTGGGGGACCTGGGGGGAGAGCATACAGGATTTCTTGGTACTATGCTTGCAACTTCTCTATAAGCCTAAAATTATGTCAAAATAAAAAGTAAAAAAAGAAAAAGAATCTCAAAGGATCAAGTAACCCAGCTCTGCCCCTTTTGCTGTTAAAGTCGGCAGACACCAACTTCCTCAAGTGGTCGGAGTTCACCTCACCAGCAATGGGCCAAGTCAGCATCACATGCCTCCTAATAGGATGCACTGAGGACATAGCACCACCCATCCCATAGACCTGCCCCAAATGCCTAACCTGGATCTAATTGTGAGAAACTACCAGACAAACCCAATTTGTGGGGCAGTCCATAAACAATTAGACTGGACTCCTCAAACATGCCAAGATCATGAAGGAGATGTGACAAATAATTGGAACTTGTGATCGCAATTTTCTTTTCCTATAAAGAAAATTATTAGGATAACTGGCAAAAATCTGAATGAGGTTTGTGTAGTGCTGCATGGTAATTTCCAGGTATATCACAGAAGGCCCTTGTTTCTAAAAGTATATACCAGAGTACTTAGGGATACGGGACATGTCAGCAACTTGTTCTCAAAGGGTTTAAAAAAGGAAAAGCAATGTGTATGTGTGTGTGTGTAGCGGGGGGCGGGAGGGGGCGTGTCAGAGAAAAAGAGCAAGAGGGAGGAAGAGAGAGAGAGAATGATGAAGCAAATGTGGTAAAATGTTAATATCTGGGGAATCTGGGGGAAGAGCATACAGGATTTCTTTGTACTGTGCTTGCAACTTTTCTATAAGTCTAAAATTATGTCAAAAAAAAAAAGAAGAAAAAAAAAGAAAAAGAATCTCAAAGGATCAAGTAATCCAGCCTGCCCCTTTTGCTGTTAAAGTTGTCTGTGGAAGACACATCCTACTTAAGCGTCTAATCCTTCTGAGAAGGGAGGTTCGTCCACATTTCAAATCCCAAGGCCCTGTTAGCTCCTGCGGGGGCCCATGGGGTAGAGCCCTCAGAACCTCCTGGGATCCTTCAGGCTGAAGTCTTCCTCCAAGAGAGGCCCCTGCACCGCCAGCCCCTCTCCCGCTGGGTGCCTCCCCGTAAGCTTGCTTGTTAAACTCCTACCCGACTAAGTGCTCCCTCACTAGCCTAGGCCCGCATCTCCTCAAGTAAGGGCTGAAGTTAACCGGGCCTACCAACAAGAGGGTGAAGATGAGGAACTCTAGAGGGACCACATCAGAACATTCTTATTCTCAGGGATTTGAGCGGCAGTGGACTTGGGTGAGGACCTGGTCTCACTCACCCCTCACCTGGCAGGTGAGGAGCACCTGCACCGAGATCAGGTGAGTCCCCCGATGTGCAGGCCTCCCACGTCAACCTGAGCACGGCCAAGAACCTACAGGGAGCCGAGCTCATGCGGCCTGTTAGGGAGTGAGTCTGCAGGGCTTCCCTGTTCAGCATGGCTGCTGGGGAGGACTCACTTCCCCACTTCCCCTGGGCCTCTTCCTGTGGCTGCCATGCTGTTTTGCTCATCTCAGGGACACTCATCCCACAATTGCACTCATCCCACAACTGTGTGCTGTTGTGCCAGGCACTGAGCTCAGCCTCGGGCCATGGCTGCAGCTCCACGGGAGCCTGTTTCAACCTCAGAAATGGACTCCCCGAGCAGCGGAGAGAGGAAGAAGGTGGGGGCCATCCCCCTGACTGGCAAGCTCCCCACAGGTCACATCTGCAGAGGCCTGTTGATCGTGGGCCTTCACTGCTGGCCACTCCAGAGTGCACACCCCACAACACTTCCTGCTCTGAGAGGCACCCTGACAGGTGTGCTCTAACTAGAGAGAGTAGGACATCTGCATCTGGATCTAGAAAACCAGGGGCACAGCTGCCCAGGACGCCAGTCTATGAGACTTAGTCAAGTTTCAGAGACCTGCTATCTGTTTCAATCTTTCACTTTCTTGCTTAACTGCCACCCTAAAGAGCTCAAACCAGCATCCCTGTGGACAGAGGAGGTGAAAATAAATATATATTCCAAGGGGGATTTTACAAGTAGACTCTCTTGCTGCACTTAAAGTACAATTTTCCTCATTAAAAATTAGGTTTACATATAGTCCTGGGTAAACAGGTAGATGACTTCATTTGTTTTTTAATGAGTTCATGGAAATGATAGTCAAAGCATACTAAAAACATCAGGGCAACGGGGACATATATATAACCACAGATATTTCTGATTTAAAACAAAAAAAAAATACTTTTTTATTACCTTTCTCTAATTTGTGCAAAATTGGCACTATCCTGGTATTCCAAAAGACATCGTCTACTTCCATTTCTGTATCCTTTTCTTGCAGGTCAGCTTTTGAACCTGCAAAAGAAACCCAGAGCAGGGGAAAGAGCACCGAAAAGAGTTATAACTGGAGCATCGTCAAAAGCCTTTGCTATTTGTCACTAAGAATAGTAAACTCTAGAATTAAATTACATTTTGTCCCCAAAGCTCGACTAACACTATTTAGAACTACATGTCTTCTAATCAAATCACCCCAAATGAAACTCCAATAAGATCAGGTAAAATTCTGATTGGGATACTTCATAAAATCTTAAGCTTTGTAAATGTTGAAATTATTGTCAGTAAGGCAGACAGTTTTGAGTTATTTTTACTTAAACTTATCCCTCTCTAAAGCAGAATAAATAGAAAACTATAGCTAGGTAACGAATAAAGATCTTGAAAACATTTAATGGGAAGTTTTACAACAAGGAGGCTTGCAGGGATTTTCTGTCCTATCCTATAAAATAAAGAGCTAATATGCTAATTAGACCAAACAGCAGAATGACTGTTCGGATGACCTTCCAGACGAAGCCGGGGCTGTGAGGGCTGCAAGGGCCAAGCCCCTTGCACGAATTTCGTGCATCGGGCCTCTAGTATAAAATAAAATGTCCACAGCATTGGGGGCCAAGGCATCGGGTGACCAGGGGCCAGTTTCTCATTCTTTCTAAGCCTCACCAGCAAAGCAGAGATCAGATCATTTGCCTTCAGGGTTTTGTGTGAGTTACAAGACATGATGCAGGCAAAGCTCAGAGCCCAGTGCCCAGCATAACACTCAATAAATAGCAATTTCTTCCCTTGATTAAAAAACAAACAGGTCATCATGTCTGAGGTGTATCAGGCTGTATGATACAGCACATCACGATGGATGCTGCCTGGAGAGGCAGCTTGCAGAGAAGTGAAGCGACCATTCGTCATGTATGTCGGGTGCAGCAGGCCCACCTTTAATTTCTGTAACAATGCAATGAGGAGGTTCCCAAATTGTCCCCATTTTCCACGTGAAGAAAGTGGGGTTCAGGCGTCTTAAGTTACCTGCCCAGTGTCAAATAGATCCATAGTCTTTGCACTTGACCTCTATGCTATTCTGCCCTGCAGCAAATCAGCAAACTAAAAGGTAACTTTGAGGGGAAATGCAAATCATATTAGAAACTGTAAATCATGATTACATTTCACAAGGAATTATCTCAAGATCTGAGACACTGACAGTCCAGCTGGAGGGGGCACCACATCTGGGTTGGATCAGGAAATCTGTGCCTTCCCCAATGCCAATTAAGTGACCACATAGTGGTGCCTGGGCTCTAAAAAATGTCACAGGATGAGCAGAGAGGCAGAGAGAGAGAGAGAGAGAGAGAGAGAGAGAGAGAGAGAGA